GGGGGGCCGGCGGCAGAGGCGCCCGCCGCCGCCCACGGCGGATGCGGCCTCTACCCCGGCAGCCGCCAGGCCCGCGCACGGGGCGCTCTACACATAGAGGGTTTCTAAAAAGGTGGCCTTAAGTATCTTCCCCTTCCCAGGCTGGACGTAGTGGACAACCGATGTTTTAATAAAAACTGAGGGGTTGTTAACACAACCTGAAGACCGTTTTTTGTCCCACGCAGGTTTGAGAACGGCAGTCCCTGGTGTGTGAGGTTTCGACACCTGCTCGCTGTTCACGACGATGAATGAAACTCTTTGAGCTGTCTATGTGGGTTAGATAATTCCTTTGGCTGAGCCTCGCTATCTAAATTGAAGGTTTCTCAGCATGGGCGTATTAGTCAGAATAGAGGGGAAAAAGGATTGCATCTGTAACTGGTAGAGGGCTCGTGTGGACGGGTGTCCTCCTACCAATAGAGTTACGTTGCTTAAAAAAATACACATCTCGCTGGCGTAGCTGAGTATGTGTTGGGTAAGTCACACCGTTTTGGGCCATCCCTGTATCTTTGGCATACAAACTGAGATATGAACATACTATTCGGTTGCCCTCTCGAGGGTCACAACTGTACGCTCCTGGCAAAGTGGGCCTGTTCCTTTTCAGAAGGCAGGTGAGACCCGAACAGTGGGTTTCCCCAAGTCTAATGCACGCGTCGTTAACGCAAGCCTGAGGTGCACGTAGCAGGCTGCGTTTCTTGTGACTCTCCAAGACTAGCCTCAGTCCTGGATGGAATCATATAAATAAATATAAGACCCAACATCCACAACCTGTAGATAAAATCTGACAGCAGTAGTTTTCAAATAAAATCACAGCTCTAAAGCTTTCAGTGGCCGTAAAATTGGAGTTCAATCTTTACAACAGAAGTTAAGAGATTATAAAACAGGCGAGGTCTGTCAAGCAGACTGGCTAACTGCTCAAATCTAAACTTTTATTTGGGATGTACTTCTGCTTTTTAGCATATATTTTTCCTGTTATTTCATCTCATTCATTTTATATTTGGGCACTGTTCATGCTATCATAACTTCAGAATTACAAAATCAATAAGGCCGTTATGAATGTAGTCACTTGTTTACAGTGACAGGCAATACAAAGTTATTTCCAACCACATCAGTTCCTAATTTAGAAACTGCATCATTCTACAGGGACAGTTTAACACGTAATTTGCTAGCTTCAGTTAAAAAAAAAAAACACACATATCTGTTTTTCTTCTCTTCAGTCAGCCTTTCTGGCAATTTTGTTTTTCTGTGCTGTCTTTATTTGTCTGTATTAAGCAGCACCCATAACTGGAGCAGAAGGTCAGTCATTCCAGAGTCAGAGAAAAGAGAATACTTTCCAACTGCCTGACATTCCTAGGCACAAATTTAAGGGTTTCTAAAGCAAATGCTGTAGTGCTGTTTGTTCGGCATGACTCTTAAATGCTGTAGAATGTCGTTCTACCCAACATTCTTGGATTTGCCACAAGACTAGTCATACTGCTTTAGCCAAGTCAAACTTACATTGAACTCAGCTCTAAGATGAGAGAACAGCAGGAAAAACATTACAGAAAGTAACGGCAGGATTAATGAAAACAGGTACATGTGGAAGGTCTCAAGAAAACTGTACATAGGTATATTTAGGCATTAAGTTAACTTTTTGATGAAGTAGCATCATATGCATCATCATCTTAGGCAAGATGGGAAAATAAACCACTGAGGTTAAGTGTAGGGACTATGCACATTAAACTGAAAAAACTTTCATTTACTGTTTTCAGTGCTCTTACGCAATAATAGCTACAGCCCTCACTGTAATGGAGACAAGATGTGCATCCATCAGGCTATAGCTATATATATCACATGATGAAAGATTTACCCAAAAGTACTCTTACCTACTTCTTTTTCCTGTTGCCATTTGACAATGGGACAAATGACTGGCAGATGGCAAGTTTACTATATTGCCACTTTTTTAAACTCCCAACTTGCACACATTCTGCAAGTCTGCACGTACAGGGCTTGGCTATGACATAAAATCATTCTTTGAATTGTACAAGACACTGCTACAGCATTTTCTAGAGGAGTGTTTAATTACATTACTGTAAATCAATAATCATTATATCTACTTCACAGTCTCGACTTTAACTTCAGCAGAAGTTAAAGTCTTTTCTTTTTGCAAATGTTTTTAGTCATACACTAGAATTTTAGTATTCATATTTCTTTCAGTTTCCAGGATGGAAAAACAAATAATCCATGTATGAACCAAAGACATAGGAGCGTATAAACTCTGCAGGTAATTTTAAGTAAAAGGAGTAAGATGAGATAATGCCATTATCCCAATTAGGAAAATTTAAGTGGGAAAGCCCCTCCACAAAAGAAAAAAAAACAACCCAAAACACAACAAAATGAAAAAAAAAACCCACAACTCTCTTTAAACCAACAAACAAACTTCAGATCATTTCGGCAATCAGTTTGCAGTACAGTGTTTTGGCCCATCTCTAAGAGCAGCCTAGTAAGCTTGAAGGTGGAAATTAGTAGTTGTTGTAAATTTGTTTTTAATTTGGC